CTGCTACTACGGCCGGCGCCGGGAGCTAGTACTAAGAGAAAACAATACTCGCCGGGAAGAGCGGCATCGTCATGGCGGGGAACGACGTTCGGCAGAAACCACGCAGGCTCGTGCTAGTCGTACCTGCCGCTAGTAGCCTCGATCCCGAACCTACTATTGCCACTAGCAGCTGCGATTACGAACCTATTGCTACTGATGATAGGTACGATCTCGCAGATCTCGTGCTTCCTGAGAAAAGCCCCCGCGGAGCCAGTTTTTCCGCGGTGGCGCCGCCTTGCGCCGCCGTGCGCAGCCCACACGCGGAAGTTGTTCGGCGGAAAGCCGCGCCGTCGCTCGAGATGGACGCGCAGTGGCGCGACGATGCGGCGGTGACGGCTTCCGCGAAGTCTGCGCGCAGCGGATGTTCAGCTACAGAAGGCGCAAGTGTTACGAAAGGCGCAAGAGACACGAAAGGCGCGGGTGACAAGAAAGAAGCACGCGCAACCTCGGGCGGCAAAGGCGCAAAGATCAGTCAAGGGAAGCAGCGCCGCCGCCGCGGAAGCAGCGCCGCCGTCGGGAAATGCAGCGCCGGCGGTTGCCGATCTGACGACAGCGACGCCGGCGCGGACGTCGGCGGGTGTTTCCTTTTCTTGCGCAGCCCGCGCGCGAAAATCGCTACATGTGCGCGGAAGTCAAGCGCCGCGGGTTCCGCCACATGTGCTCGACCAGGTTCCGCCACAGGTGCTCGACCGGGCTCCGCCACAGGTGCTCGACCGGGCTCCGCCACAGGTGCTCGACCGGGCTCCGCCACATGTGCTCGACCGCCTGTGCGCGGGGCTTCCGCCGACGATTTCCACTTCCGCCGGTCGCGGTCGACGTCGCACTTGGATGAGAGAAGCGGCGCTGTCGACGGTACCAAGGGCACCAGCGGAAGTATGAACAGCACCAGCGACGGAGGGGGAGGAGGAGGAGGGAGAGGGGGAGGGGAAGGGGAAGGAAGCGGAGGAGGAGGCAGAGGAGGAGGGGAGCTTTCGTCATTTGAAGGGGCCGGTGGCGAAGCAGCAACAGCACCAGCCGCGTCGCGGCAAAAACGAGGACCCTCCTCTCCCGCCAACATCTCCTCCGCCTCGCCTCATGATCTTGCCGCCATGATGGCGGGTTCACCTCGCAACGCGCCCCGTCTGTCTTATGATGCGCCCCATTTGCGCCATTTGCCCCATTTGCCCCATCCACCCCCGTCGCCGTCACCTCGTCATGCGCCGTCCCCCCGACCCCGCCACCCCGTCTCGTCACCGCGGATCGCGCGGCTCCTGGTCACCTCGTCGTCGCCTCGTCATCGCACCCTCGGTCCGTTTGCTCCGCCTGGTTCGCCACCTTCGCACAGTCGTCGCACCGCGACCCGCAGAGCCGCGTCTGTGTCAGAGCGCTTGTTTAAGGTCTTTGATGCGATAGAAAGCTTAGAAGAAGCAAGCGGCGTTAGCAATCGCACTGAGCGCAGTGCGATGGTTGGCAACCGTCGCACCGCGGCTCGCAGAGCAGCGTCTGCGACAGAACGGGACTTCGCGGCCTTCGAGAATATCGCGAATCTCGACGCTTCCGCGGGTTTCGAGGAGGATTTCGAGGCCCTCGCAGCGGCAGGCTCTAGTACTAGCAAGCACAGCTATACTTCAAAAAACGGCTACTACACAAATTCTAACGCGCCTCGGGGCAACCGCGCCGTCCGCAGAGCATGGTCAACCGGCGTAGAACGCGGCTCCGCCACATCGCCTTCCGCCGTAGAACGCGGCGCCCCTCGCGCTTGCTCCGCTACACCCCCTCGCGTTTGCTCCGCCGGGAGTCGTTCCGACTCGTTCCGCGCCACTAACCTTGTCAGCAGCAGAACCGTCGGTGACGACTATGATAAAGACTACTGTGTTGACGATGACGATAACGTTGACGTAGTCATGACGGAGCCCATCGGTGACGAGTGGGATGCAGCAGACGACGATATCGTCCACGGAGTCGTGACGGCGTGGCCAGTGCAGCGGGAAGGCGCAGCAAGGGGACATGCCACGGAGGGGAAGCAGTCTGGGGCGGAACAGTTCGGGGGGAAGCAATCTGGGGGGAAACAGTTGGGGGGGAAGCAATCACGGGGGGTCGCTCCAAACTCACCCACTGCCAACACGACACCAACTGAACAACACAAGCCTTTCCCATCCAACTTCCCGCGCCCCCCTCCCATTACCATACATCCAGATTTACCAGACTCTGCAACCTCGTCCTCCCAGTCCCCCTCCTCCCCTTGCCATTCCCCCACTTTCCCTTGCCCCGCCCTCCCCATCTCCTCCCCCAATCCCCCGTCCGTCTCCCCATCCAAGCCCCCGCGCTTCCCCACTCGTTCCCCCAAGCTTTCCCCCTCTTCATCCATCAGAGCCTTCCCCTCTTCATCCATCCGGACCTCCTGCTCTGTTGACATTCCAGGAGGGGAGCGAGGTGCGCAGCAATGGACAAAGGTGCACCAAAATGCACACCACTTGATACGTATTGACCCGCACATGCGGCATTTTGCAAGGTCGCAGAGTGATGACTGCATCTCATTAGAAGGCACGCAGACCAGAAGTCCTGGTACGCTGTTATTCCCGCTGGAAAGCACACAGTCTGCTATACAGGTAAGGGGGGTTGACAGGAGGAGGCCTCTGGTATCGCAGTTAAAGAGCCCTGTCAGGACAGGAGTATTGCTGGCGGAAGGAGGTGAGACGGCAGACACGGAAAGCCCATTTCCTCCCAAGAGCCCTGTGAAGTCGTGTTTGTCAATGGCAGATGGTGGTGGGAGTGGGAGTGGGAGTGGGAGTGGGAATGGTGGGTTGGGAGGGAGAGGCAGACTGAAGAAGCAGGTGTCGTTCAACAAGGTGGTACGTATTCGCCGGTTTCAATCGTGCGAAGCTTTTCCAGACTTTGGTGTAGGTTGACTTGACAAAACAACGAGCTTGTGGAGTGTATGGAGTTTCTTGTAGATGAATCAAATAGGTATCTGACATAACTCCAGGAAGCATTGAGGAAAAAAGGCCTGAGATGTGGAAGGATGTCAGGAAGGAAATGCAGCAGTCATACTGTGACTGTTCGTGATACCCCTCTGACCAATCGTGATAAAACGGGCAAAATTGTGACCTTCTGTATAATTTCCCCTGAAGAATTCACCCTCTTCATTCTCGAACCAGTCCGTTTGGTCACTCTGGTACATCCGAAACCGCCCATCCTCCCGCCCAGAGACAATCATCAGTAGCAGCAGTGGTCTGAGTTCCCAGACAACGGCCCACAGCCAGCTACACGGCCGCGAATAATTTTAGCCAAATTTTCCAAGCAACACGCGGGGCTACCCGAAAGAAAGGAACTGTAGGTAGGTGGTAACCCCACTGCTGCATTCATGCCCAATTTCGCACTCACGCAAGACGGGAAACAACCAGCAAAGGTGGCACCTGTGTGGACTCGTGCCAGTTCGCCACACCACCCGTTCACCGCACATGTGCAACTAAAAAGCTGCTCGTCTCGCTGCCTGTGTCCCGATTCTTGAACGAAACAGCCACTACGTACGATCAACGTGCGGCGCCGCATTCCGTTTTGTCAACGCATATGCCTCGCATCGCATTGCATCCGATGCGTGTGACGCCATTCGTTGGCTTAGCGAGTGGCCAATCCCGTCGTCGAACCACAATGTCAACGGGCATGCGGCGTGCAGCTGCCACGACGGGCGGCAATTGCGGCAACCGACAGGGATTGTTTATGCTGTTGTCGCTTATTTGCTGTACCGTCAAGCCGCAGTTGCTTCGGCATCTGGGAGCGACGAAAGGGTTTCATCTCCATTTCTCGCGCACTGGCTCGAGCACCACGTGATGATTTTTTGCTCCCGTCACGTGGGGTGGCTCAGCTTCTGACTCAAAGTCACCTCATACAGCCCTTGCTTCGGCCCCGTGATATGCGCGTCTCCAAGGCACTCAAGCCTTCGAGACTCCTTTTCTCCCCTAACAGCGCCGCTTCTACCAGCTCCGGGAGCTGCTACTACTAGGGTTAATTCTCGCCGAGAAGAGCGGCATTGTCATGGCCGGGAACGTCGTACGGCAGAAGCCACGTAGACTCGTACGAGTACCTTCTACTGATCGTACGTACGATCTCGTGGTTCCCGAGGACAGCCCACGCGGAGCCGGTTTTGCGGCGGTGGTGGCGGCTTCCGCCGTCGTGCGCAGCCCGAGCGCAGAAGTTGTTCGGCGGAAAGCCGCGCCGTCGCTCGAGATGGACGCGGAGTGGTTCGACGATGCGGCGGCGGCGGCTTCCGCGAAGCCTGCGCCGCTCAGAGGATGCTCAGCCGCGGAAGGCGCCGCAAGCGATAAGAAAAGTGCAGGCGACAAGGAAGGCGCGCGCGCGGCAATCTCAGGCGGCAAAAGCGCAAAGAATGGGGAGTCAGTGGCGGAAAGCAGCGCCGCCGACGCCGCCGCCTCCGCCGCCGATTACTCGTCTGACGACAGCAACGCAGGAGACGTGGGCGGATGTTTCCTCCGCTTGTACAGTCCGCGCGCGAAAAACGCTACGGGTGGGCGGAAGATCAGCGCCGCTGGTTCCGCCACAGGTGTTCCGCCTGCGCGCGGGGCTTCCGCCGACCATTTCCCGTTCCGCCGCTCGCGGTCGACGTCGCACTTGGATGCTAAGAGAAGCGGCGCTGGCCCAGCGGCACCGCGTGACGGTACCAAGTGCACCAGCGGAAGTACAGAAGCCACTGGCAACGGAGGGGAAGGGGGAGGGGGAGGGGGAGGGGAAGGGGGAGGGGGAGGGGGAGGGGGAGGGGGAGGGGGAGGGAGAAGGAGAGGGGGAGGGGGAGGGGAGCTTTCAACATTCAAAGGGGTGGGTGGCGCACCAGCAGCAACAGCACCAGCATCTCAACAGCCGCCTCATGCGCCCCATTCGCCCCATCCGCCTCCCCATTCGCCCCATCCGCCTCCCCATTCGCCCCATCCGCCTCCCCATTCGCCCCATCCGCCTCCCCATTCGCCTCATGCGCCCCATTCGCCCCATCCGCCTCCCCATTCGCCCCCATCCGCCTCCCCATTCGCCCCATCCGCCTCCCCATTCGCCCCATCCGCCTCCCCATTCGCCCCATCCGCCTCCCCATTCGCCCCATCCGCCTCCCCATTCGCCTCATGCGCCCCATTCGCCCCATCCGCCTCCCCATTCGCCCCATCCGCCTCCCCATTCGCCCCATCCGCCTCCCCATTCGCCCCATCCGCCTCCCCATTCGCCCCATCCGCCTCCCCATTCGCCCCATCCACCTCCCCATTCGCCCTATCCACCCGCGTCGCCGCGATCACCTAGTCAAGCGCCCTCCCCTCGATCTCGACTCAGCCGTCACCTCGTCTCGTCACCGCGACTCGCTCGGCTCCCCGTCACCTCGTCGCCGCGTCATCGCAACCTTCGCCCCGCCGCCTTCGCACAATCGCCACATCGCCCGCAGAGCAGCGTCTGCGACAGAACGGGACTTTGCGGCTTTCGAAAATCTCGGGGATTTCGAAAATACCGAGGGATTAGAAGGTTCCGGGTCCTTTGAAGCGGCAAGCCCTAGCAGGATTGGCTCAAGTAGTACTTGTAGCGCGCCTCGGTGCAGCCGCGCTGTCCGCAGAGCACGGTCCGCGGTACTAGAACGCGGCTCGGCGACATCCCCCCGCGCTTGTTGCTCCGCCGAGAGTCGTTCCGACTCGATCCGCTTCAAAAGTGCCAGCGCCTCTGCTGCTAACCTTGTCAGCAACAGATCTGTCCGTGATGATCATGATGAAGACCACACTAACAATTTCAAATTGTTCAGCGTTGAGACGGCGCGGCCAGTGCAGCCGGAAGGCGCAGCGGGAGTTGCCGCGGCGGGAAAGGGCGTTGCAGCAAGGGGGTTTCTCGTGGAGAAGCAGTTTGCGGGGGGGCCGTGCCCTGGCAGCAGCACATTACCATCTTGTCAACAACATAAGCCTTCCCCATCAAGCTTCCCCCGCCCCCCTCCCATTACCATACACCCGAGCCAATCAGACTCAGCATCCTCGTCCTCCCCCTGCCATTCCCCCATTTTTCCCTGCCCCGCCCTCCCCATCTCCTCTCCCACCCTCCCCATCTCCTCTCCCGCCCTCCCCATCTCCTCCCCCACCCTCCCCATCTCCTCCCCCACCCTCCCCATCTCCTCCCCCAATCCCCCTTCTGTCTCCCCATCCAAGCCCCCGCGCTTCCCCCCTCGTTCCCCCATGATTTCCCCCTCTTCCTCCATCCAGGCCGCCCACCCTATTGACAATCCAGGGGGGGTGCGGGGGTGCACCTCCTCTGTTGACAATCCAGGGGTGAAGCGATCGGGTGAAGGGGCAGCAGGTTGGGTAATGATCTCAAGCCGGAGGGTGGGCTTTAAAGGAGGAAAAGGGGACAGTTGTGGCTTCCCTTGCTCTGTTGCTGAGGCGCCTCAAGCTAGGAATCTGCAGTCAGACAAGGGAGTTGGTGGTGGTGGTGATGGGCAAAGAGAGGGAGTTGGAGGTGGTGCTGGACAAAGAGAGGGTGTTGTGCCCCACGCCCATTCCTCACTGCTCCACCCTCTCCGGGTCCCAGGCAGTCCAAGAGTGGTGCAAGTTTCAGAAGAGTTGATGAAAGTAGAGCACGGTGCACAGCATGAGCACAAGTTGATGCGAATGGACCAAGAGGCACCGCCGTTGCTGCAAACGGACCGAGACATGCAGTACTTCACAAGGTCACAGAGTGAAGGCTCCATCCCACTACAAGGCACAACGGCTCGAAGCCAGGAAAGGCTGTTACAAGCCCCACTTATCGAAATGTCCAGTGTGCAGAGCCCCTGTCCTCTGAAGAGTCCCGTGAAGTCTTGCTTGTCGCTGGGGGAAGGAGGTGGGAGTGGGAGTGGGTTGGGAGGGAGAGGCAGGCTGAAGAAGCAGGTCTCGTTCAACCAGGTGGTTCGTGTGAGGCAGTTTCACTCGTGCGAAGCTTTTCCGGAGTATGGTCCGAATTGACATGGCATTTAAGTTGACTCCAGGCCCTCAGATTGGTTTGGGGGTACACTGAGGCCTCAGGGCAGTTTTTAGGAAATCAGAATTTGCCCTGAATTGTCAGGGCTGCAAAGGGTTATGTATCCTGAAATGTCAGTGCGAAATTTGACTGTATCCTGGCAGTTCAGTGCTACATTTCGTACAGCCCTGTACGGTTCGCGCGTGTTATGTTAGCGGGGGTCGAAATGCTCTCCACATTCGAAGTGTGTGATGCTGGGGTGCACTACATAGAAGGATAGCACAAGAACAAATTATTCTGCAGTTATCTCACCGGGAAGTGTTGTAGTGGGTGAGGTGCCAGTCTATAACACGAGATCTCCAGCTCGCTTCCCGCTGCCTTCGAGAGGTCTGTTGTGCACGCACTAGTACATTTTTAGGCCCCGAAACGTAGGAGAGGTCTGGTACAGTACATCTCGCTTCAGGGCGAGATTCGACACTATCCTGAGTCGTCAGGGCCGAACCTACAGGGTTATCCTGAAGTTTCAGTCCGCAATATAACCATTATACTTATCTTACAGGACAAGATATTCCCTTATGCTGTTTTTTCAGGAGAAGCACACGTTACCTATCCTGAATTCAGGAGAATCAGGATAAATTATCCTGATAACATAGGCCCTGGTTGACTCTTAAAAGTTGACTATGGTCTGAATTGACATGGCATATATACCACTCTTAAGAGCATTTGGTGTAGAGGGACAGCACTTGAAAGTTGTTAGCGCGCAAGACTTCAGTTCTCGCGCAAACTCACCTCGAGCTTGTCGAGCCGAAATTGGCTAGATCTGGAATCCAAAATCAATACCACTGCCCAGCAGCAGCCCCGCGAGAAATTCAAGAGAATTAAAGCCTGAATACAGCATGGTAATTTTCAAGTTCAAGATTCTTGAACTTGAAGTCGCCAAAACAGGGTTACCTTCTTTGGTTTGAAACAAAACTCGCGAGGCAGGGGAAAACTCTTGCGACAGTCAATCCTGATTGGTTTCTGAGCCCAGTCGCACAACAAATCTGACCATCGCCCACTAGGTTGCCCCGATGTCCTCTCACATATCTTGAAGACCAAGTAGAACTCCTAGTCCACTATGAGACTCACGTAACTAGGAAACGCGTGGCAGGGCGATAAGAGCTAGGTCAAGAAGAAGCGTTTTTTTTTTTGTTGAACAACACTACTCACACGCGCAGTCTTGCCAATAGCTGAGCATCACATCTTCAAGCCAAACACGCGCTCCGTACCATTTTCGCTTGCCAGACACGGAACGTCCGTACTAGCGCAATACACGCAAATGTAGGGTAGTGGCACGAGTTGCTACACTTGCCCGTAATATGATGGTGGTGGGCGGGTCGCCCAAGTTAGATTCGCGGTCGAGCTTTGCGCGCGCTTCTTCACGTCGCCCACACTTGCTCGGGTCACGCTATCTTCCCGTAGTCACCCGTGCTTCCCTTCGTCGCCCGCGTTCCCCACCGTCCCGCGCTTCCCAACGTCGCCCGCGCTGCCCCTCGTCACACCCGCTTCCTTACTCAATGCTCGCTTCCCCCTCGTCGCGCGTTCTAGAAAGCGACCCACATCGTCGGAAAGTGCAACGACTGAAGCACGCGTCGCACGCGCTTCTCCTCTTCGCCCCCGCCTCTTTATTTCGCGCGCGTACTCCTCGTCGCCCCCGCCCCTTTATTTCGCGCGCGTTCTCCTCGTCGCCCCCGCCTCTTTATTTCGCGCACGTTCTCCTCGTCACCCCCGCCTCTTTATTTCGCGCGTGCTTCCCCATACCCGTCTAAGGTTTCCCCCATGAACGACCCCCCCCAGGGAACCAATCTCCGTCCACCCTCCCTCTCTTCCTCCCTCCATCTCTCCCTCTCCCCTCTCTTTTCTCTCCCTCTGTCCCTCCCTACCTTGCTTGTGACCTCTTCCTCTGTCCCCCTCTCCCTCTCCCTGTCTTCCCTCACTCCCTCCCTCTCTTCTCCCTCTCCCTCTCTCTCTCTCTCTCTCTCTCTCTCTCTCTCTCTCTCTCTCTCTCTCTCTCTCTCTCTCTCTCTCAAGCAGTCCTTCATTGATGTGTAACCAGGGTACAGGCAGGGCATCGGCAATCCTAGCAAGCATGCAAGCCTAGGCCTCGCAGGGTGATAATGATGAACAAAGTCACATACATGCCTTGCAATTGGCCACTATGCCTCACTAAGCAGCTTAGCTGCCGCCACCATATCCCCGACCACAACACTGCAGGCATGCTCCACCACCCGCTCAGACCTCACCCCTCCTCCTCCCTTTTCCTCCTGCCCGGCCTAGGGGGAGTCTCATGAGCTTGGGATAAGCCTCCCTTGCTCCCCCGGGGGTTGACCTGGCCCTCTACTCCCCCAGGTCGAGGACCAGGGCCAGGCCATCTCTCTCTCTCTCTCTCTCTCTCTCTCTCTCTCTCTCTCTCTCTCTCTCTCTCTCTCTCTCTCTCTCTTCTCTCTCTCTCTCTCTCTCTCTCGAATGGTCCGTGTATTAGATGAAGGGTGGTACAAAGGTTTGAAGCCGACACATGCATACTAGACAAACAAGCAGACCTATCACCCATCACCTACTCAACCCCCCCCCCCCCGGTGTCGGAAGGGGGCTCAATCAGCTGGTGCAGCTGCCCCTCGTTGAGAGGGGCCCACGGCCCTTGCAGGCTGAGCTCGTCCGCCTCCAGGGCCTCGTTGGTCTTGGTGCAGAGGGCGTTTGCCTGCGCCCTCTGGAGGCACACGCTCCAGCGCTGGCGGTACTCCGTCAGCAGCTTGGCAGCCTCTCGTGAGGTAGGTGCCGCGTTGAAGCGGAGTTTCGCAGCCAGCTCCGCGCATTGCCGTAGGTAAGCCAGCACCCCCGGCGACGGGTAGCCGTAGGTCTCCACGGCCAAGGCGTGGAACCCCACCCACGCGTTCCGCCCCGCATATTTCTCCTCCTTCCGTGCAGCTGCCGCCCTAGCCGCCCAACCAGGTGCGCGGTTGCAGTTCTCGTCCTGGTAGGACACCGGGCGGTCACGGTCACATCACAAAGCCAAACTTCTCCGGTCAGGGGATGGCGGATGGAGACATCCGCTTTAAGGTTTTCAACCAGAGAATAGGCATAGGTCTCCTTGTGAACCGTGAAGCCTGCTTCCGCCCCTATCCTTGCGATTTCATCCCTGAGAGCATGGTGTGTGGCAGTCCTCCCTTTCCCCTTCTCGCAGCGCATAAGGTGGTTCGGGAGGCGGTCATCAGGGAAGGCGGTGCGGTATCGGCAGTCGCACCGCCTCAAGACAGGGAGGGGGAGGCCAAGGCGGAAGGCGGATGCAGTAGAGTGTTGGGAGGGGCCCAGTCTTAGCGCAGAGGAGAGTGGGATTGCCTGCAGCCAGTCCCCTGCTCCCGGGCCCAGCAGGGACTGCATCCGCTGGGCGTGCCCTGAGAGGGGATTTGGGCGCATCCGCCGCGCCGTGTTCAGCACTCGGAGGTAGTGGGGGGTGTGGACTGCCAGGGCCAGAGCCTGCTGGAGCTTCAGTCCCTTGGGGTCACTTTTACCAGCCCGAAAGGCCTCTAGGTGTCAAACGTATATGCTACTTATTGTGTAGGCTGTAGTGGGGTAGCCCATATGGGGTACAACCCAAATTAGGGTTTCCTACTTGTACCCATCTTCCTGCTAGTTCATTCATTCCTGTCACTAGTTTCTAACATGGTTTCAGAGCAGTAGGTCCGTAGGACCGTTTTTTTTTTCGGGCCCACCATTGCCTAATGTTCGACTGCGGTTACCGGGTTAC